ATATATATATATATATATATATATATATATATATATATATATATATATATATATATATATATATATATATATATATATATATATATATATATATACATATATAATATATATATATATATATATATATATATATATATATATATATATATATATATATATATATATATATATATATATATATATATATATATAATCTATGTAAAAAATAGGAAGTTTCAGTTTTGCCATTGCACTGATTAGTTGACCTGCACCGAAGGACTTAGAATAGCTTATATTCAGTTGTGCAGATGTATTTACGTAAAAGTCCAAGTTGTGATTGGTTGGATCAGTGAATATATGCGGCTAACAACGACTTAAAGTAACTTAAAATTACTCAAAGCGGCCTAAGTGAAACTTAAAATAATAGGCAGACTATTTGCACATATATAATTATAGTGATCTCTTTCTTTTGATACGATAACAGGTTGTTGGTTACTTTTGCACATTAAGGCATGTTTTAAGCCCGTTTTAATTTTTCTTTATCTTTTTCTACCCCAGAAATCACAAGACAAAGAAAAATTCCGTTCCGCGCGCAAAATTCCGCCCAATGGAAAACAGGCTTTAAGGCCGTTTTCCACAAGGCGGAATTTTGCGCGCGGAGCGGAATTTTTCTTTGTCTTTTGATTTCTCGGGTGGAACTAATTAGAAAAGACAAAGAGAAATTCCGCTCCGCGCGGAAAATTCCGCCTAGCGGAAAATGGCCTTAATACGTCGAATTTCGGTCGCGTCGAATGCAATTCAAACAATGCATAATGAAACTTTATAATGAGGTTTATCATCTCATTATCAATATATTGTCTTAATTGCATTCGACGCGACCAAAATTCGACGTATAAAACGGGCCTAAAAGTTATTTGCACTTCCGTGAAAATTTGTTAAAATCTTTACAATTTATAAGTTCAGCTGGTATAATAGTATTAAAAAGTTGAAAGGCAGTGTCTTGAAAAGTTACGCTTTCAAATGGTACTTGCAGTTGCGTTGCCACGCTTGAGTGAACTAGTCAGTTCTGTTCGGTGTTTCGTATAGATGGCGTGCAAGTTACGTCACCGTCGCCATGTTGGATGACATTGACAAAGGATTTTGCTTGTTCACTTTGCAATGCAAATATCATTCAACGGCATGGCGAAAATCTATTTGTCCTTTGGATCCCATGGGAGTGGTTGTACAATCACCTGTTACTTCCACTCAAAAAACTATCGCAAACACCGATAAATAAGATCTAGAAATTACAATAACCGACAAATCGTACTTGGTTACTCTCTTATGGCTTTTGTGTTTTGGCAAATATTTTCTATAGAGATCGCGACCTTGCTCACACCTCATTGGACATTGCTTGTTTTGGTACCTGTTGTGCAACCGTATGTAAAATACCTGAATCACAAAACGAAACTAACTTAGCAGTTAGCACAAAGGCTGTTTGATAACTTATATGTTTGTCTCGCTTCCAAATTATGTGACGACGTACAATGAGTGATTTCAGGTGTACTAAAAGTCAGTATTAGACCATTGGATTGGGGACACTAGAATAAAAAGATATGTAAGCAAAAAGACGACTTAGATTTGTATCTTCGCGAGAATGGCTTGTTGCCCGACGGAAGAGAAATATGGCTACGAAGATAGTCGTTTTGAGACAGCTGTTGATGCCCACTTTCATTGCTCTATCTGCTACAATGTTCTGAAGGAACCAATGATGTGTAGAAATAATGAACACATATTTTGTCGTGGCTGTATTACTGAACATTTAACTGTGAACTCGCATACTTGCCCAGAATGTAACGAGGACTTGACTGTCGAAACACTTCGCAAAGCCCCGCGTCTGGTGAGCAATTATTTATCCGAGCTTAAGATAAAGTGCGATTTTGCTAACCGAGGTTGCCAAGAGTTCATTCGTCTTGAAGAGCTCGATTCTCACGTCGAGAATTGTGGCTTTGCTCCGGTGAAGTGCTCAAGCGAGGAATGCGGAATGTTGATTAATAAGCGAGAGATTATTCTTCACGAGAGCACAGTTTGTGAGTACAGGAAAGTCAAGTGCCATTCTTGTAAAAAGTTGGAGCAAGATGTGGAAGCAATAAAAGAGAAAATGGAAGGAATGGCAGCCGATGTAGACCAAGTTAAAGAGCTGATGGTCCAGATGTTTGAAAAATTACGTTTCTTCGACAACACCACTCAAATTTCATCTGCTATCAATCAAGACGTATTAGTAGCTGGGGGCTGGGATACTGATCGTAATGCTTTGAGATCTGTTGAGAGATTTTCGTGGAAGAATAATGTGTGGAAAAGAGTGTCCTCAATGAACGTTGGTCGCAAAGGAGCAACGTCGTTTGTTTACGAGAATCAAGTATTTGTCGCTGGCGGATGTGATAGTCGTGTAATTGAGGTATTAAATTTGAACGAAGGTTTGCTGCAATGGGATGAATCAATGGCCAAACTTCCCTACCACTGTGAACCCCGCTCTGTAGTTTACCAGAACCATGCAGTTCTTTTTTGCGCATGCGGTATGACTCATTGTTGCACAAAACTTTGCCTTACTGCACCTCACACATGTAAGCAGTTGTGTAAAATGCCTGAGCCAGCAAGGAAACATTATACGGTGGTTGCATTTGAGAACAAAGTCTTGATTTTTGGAGGACTGAGTGTTACCACTGGTCATTCACTTGATAGTGTGTTAGAGTTTGATCTCAGTACGAATAAATTTAAAGATATGCCTCCATTGCCCTATTCTGTTTCAAATATGGCAGGTGTTTGTTGGGGAGATTATGCAGTTTTGTTTGGAGGTTATGACAAGGATGCCCAATCAAAAAACGTTTTGATGTACGATTCCAAAACGGGCAACACCACGCAATTACCATCTATGTTAGAGGAAAGATCTGCTTGTGCTGGGGTCATCACGGGCAATACAGTCGTTGTGATGGGCGGAGTAGGAAAGTTAGCTGTCCGTGTTAGATCTGTTGAAGCTTTCACTTTGGGAGGTTATTCCTGGAGATATCTTCCCGCCATGAACAATATTAGAAGTGTCGCCACTGCAACTGTTTTACCAAGGAAAAACTTTCGGTGAACTGTATTAGTGACAATATATGCCAGACTACCAGAGTCAGAACAGGCAAACTGAATGCAACTTTTTTGTTGTATTCCAGTGTTGGTTTTATTATCTACAAACAAACATTTTGTAATGTTGTGATTATAGTCATGATAATATATATAGAACTTGATATATAAATCAGTTTAAAACAAATTCATTTATATAGGCTATATATGTTTCATTATGCGATCTTTAATCTGCATACTTTGAGAAGATACTCAACGTATATTATAATGCCTGACTTATAGATCAACATTTTGGAGTGGTCTGAAAGGGCCTTGTGATGATTTTTGTATGAAAACATTTTCTGTGTGACATGCTAGTGCATAATATAATCTTGAACGCAAATTAATTTTTTTTCATGTGGCGCAACGGAGGAAGAGGGGCCCTCAGGCATATTTGGTATTGGGCCCCCTGTTGGCTGTTGTCATTGTTTTGTCTGAGATATTATATTTATATTGAATATTATTGAATGCTCTGGAAAATTCCGTGTCTACAGGTGTATGTACCACAAAATACCACGGTACCACAGAATACCAGTCTTATTCAGTTATATAAAATTTGAAGGAAGTATGCTATAAACTTTATTTTTGTGATTATATATTAGTTTTAGTCTTAATTGACATATAAAAACAAAAAATGTAGGCCTATATTTTCTTAAAAATTCTTAAAAATCAGGATTAACACAAAGTACATTCTATATTTTTGATACTTTTTTTTCGCATAATGCCTATGAAATCCGAACGTTTAAAAATAAGTTTGCAAACCAGCATAATTTATGTTGATCAATACTTTTTCTATGCAATGCAACACTATTACTACACTGCATGGAATCACACAGTGTAATCAATTTTACCATTGAAAAACTGAATTTTTCAAAAATATTGATAAACCTGGTATTCTTTGGTTATACCACTGGTATTCTGTACTGATTTTAGTATTATACAATTACTTTATGGTTTCCGTGTTTGGATGGCCTGATCCAAACACGCGGGAATGTTGCGAGAATGTTAACCAAACACGCGGGAATGTTAACTCGAGAAACATTCCCAAGTGTTTGGATCAGTCCATCCAAACACGGAAACCATAAAGTAATTGTTTTATAAAATAACAACAACACGATAGTCTTCCGTGTTTGGATGGCCTGATCCAAACACGGCTTTTGACCAATCAGAACACGC